CAATTTAAATCGGTGTTGGAGTCAAGATTTTTGGATAGAAAGGCAAAGTTATAAGTGTAGGAAATTAGTTTTTTGATTAGTGCAATTTTGAAAATTATGAAGTGTACGTTAGTTTTTCATTTTTTGACTTAAGATTTAGTCTTGACATCTAAAAAATTTAAAATAAAATACTTGAAACCAAAACGCTATAAGATCAAGTAGCTTATGGCCAAGATGATTTTAACCAAACAATAATAAAAATCAAGCCCAACAAACCAAAGAATGAGTGTTGTATAACCAATATGGGAAAAAGTATCCGTTAGCATATCAAATTTTACATATATACATATTACTTATGTCTCTCTCTATCTTCTCTTTTTTAGCATCGTACTTAAAAAAAGAAGAAATATATGAAATTGCTATACAGTTTAATACCAAATTGTAAACAATAAACTTTTTGCAAAGTTAGCCAATTAGTTAAAAATATTCATTTTGTATGTTTATAAAGAGATATTTTTGGAGACAATATCGAAAAATTTAAGAAGATAATATATGACAATAAAGTATTTAATAAGAAGTTTATTTTTTATACCATTTAAACAAATAGCAATTTATAAATATTCAAAAAGAGTGGACGAGGGCAAATTAGTATCTTTCCAAAGACAAAAGTTAGCTGGAGAGAGGCACTGAAAATTTTCTTTAAAAAAAGTAGTTCTAAATGAAAATTCTCAATATTCCTCTAGGGTTAAGAGGATTTTACCAAAATTTTGAGGGAGAGAGTGGCTGACCTACTGTATCCCTGTCTATCTATTAGTAATATTGCAACTCACTACATCCACGACTAAGTTTTCCTACTAGCATCTTTACAACGTAATTTTTTTTTTTTTTTTTGCAGTTTTTGTACTTTTTTCATTGCACAGTAATGGTCTTTGTTAATATGTTGATAAGGTAATAAAAGTTTAAATTGAGCTTGGACAAATAAAATGTAAAAATAATTTAAGACCTTGTTGCTAATTATATGCGAGACAAGAATATATAAGAAACTGCTAGCAAAGAACAAAACAAAATTGTCAAATATAAATTTTTAATCTAAAAGTTTTTATCTGTAATTTTCTTAAAGAAACTCAGTTCAGGAACTGGATACATATGCTAAAATTTGATTAGAGAATCTTAGGAAAATATGCTAAACCAAACATGCATAAGTAGAGAAAAGATAACTTATTCAATACAATTTTGCGTTTTCCACACAAAATTGTTCCAAATAAAGATATTTCATTTCTATAAATAAATTCAAGAGATTAATACAATTTGTTGCTTAATTAGCAAAAAATGAAACAAATTTCTTAACGCGGTTGGCATTATTCCAAAGTTGGTCAAGTAAGGATACAAATAGTACAGCTTAAAGTACAAATAGTACAGCTTAAACCTTTTATTTACCTTCCATATAATACAAATGCAAAGCACTAGGAAATGGCCAGCCAAGTTCTCATCATCAAATCTTTTCTGGGGAGCTTTATCCATTACGGTCTATATAAACCCCAGTGATCCGTACGTAATTTTACCACAGACTCAACCAAATACCAACCCAAAGGGAAAACAAAAAAGGAAACAAAAATGAACCAAGAAACTGTAGTTATCATAGTTGGAGGTGGCCCTGCTGGCCTTGGCAACTTCAGCGTGCCTAAATGTACGTGGCATTCCCAATATTGTTCTAGAACGAGAAGATTGCAGTGCTTCTCTTTGGAAAAAACGAACTTATGGTCGTTTGAAACTCCATTTGGCCAAGCAATTTTGCCAACTTCCTCACATGTCATTTCCTTCTGATGCACCAACTTTTGTACCCAAAGATGGCTTCATCCAATATTTGGATGACTACACTTCCCATTTTAACATTAATCCCATTTATTGTAGGCTTGTTGAGTCTGCATCTTTTGGTGTTACTGATGAAAAATGGCTTGTTTTGGCCAAAAACGCACTGTCTGGGGCAATAGAAAATTATGTTGCAAAATTTCTAGTTGTTGCCACGGGCGAAAATGGTCAAGGGTTGATACCAGAAATTCCAGGTCTTGATAGTTTTGGCGGTGTGGCCATGCATTCTAGCCATTATGACAATGGCCAGAATTTTTGTGACAAAGATGTATTAGTTGTTGGTTCAGGAAACTCTGGGATGGAAATAGCCTATGATTTAGCAGACTGGGATGCTAAGACCTCAATTGTGATTCGTAGCCCGGTAAAAACTTTTAATATTTTTGTTTTATTCTCTTTTGCTCTCTCATGATCTCATCATCAACTCTTATGATTTTCTAAAATTTTTACTTTTCATATTTATTTTTCTAATCTTTTGCTCTGTCATGATCTCCATAAAAGACATAGATCAAGACGCAAATTCATGGACAGAGAGTTTCTAGAGTTCATTCCACTATAGTCGATCAGCATGATCATTTCCAGTAGAAAGATCTGTGTTTCTTGCAATCTAAGGCATGTTCTTTGTTTCTGTCCACAGACATAAATTTTACCTTTTCTAATTTCAGGTTCATGTTCTAACCAAGGAAATGGTGCGATTTGGAATGCAACTGTTGAAATTCATTCCTTGTGATCTAGTGGATCGCACTGTAGTCATGCTTAACAAGTTCCTGCATGGAAACCTTGCTAAATATGGGCTTGTAAGGCCAGACAAGGGACCTTTTCTTCTAAAAAATATGACAGGACAATCTCCTGTCATAGATGTTGGGACTTTGAAAATGATCAAAAGTGGAAAAATTCAGGTAGACTACTTTGACATACTCATGGCATCCTTTTTTTTTTTTTTTTTTTTTTTGGTCAAGATGAAATAAAACTCGATATAAGACATTCACTACTGTTTCTTGTCAGGTTCTACCGGCAGTGAAGAGGGTTGATGGAGATTATGTTGAATTTTCAAACGGCATTAAGAAAAATTTTGATGCCATAGTTTTTGCTACTGGCTACAAAAGCACAGTGAGAACATGGTTAAAGGTACTTGAAATGAAACCTTTAAGTTTACTTGGAATTAATTACCAGTATTACTGATTATCCTTTTATGATATTTAATGAAGGATGAAACTAGCCTTTTCAATGAAGATGGAATGCCCCAGAAAAGCAGACCCAATCACTGGAAGGGAGATGATGGATTGTATTGTGCAGGATTCTCAAGCTCTGGACTGTTTGGAATATCTAAAGATGCCATGAATATAGCTGAAGATATCAATTTCATGCCAGGGAAGGAAAAGAATTAAAAGCTGAAGTATATTGAAGAAATATAACAATATCACTTGATGATGCTATTTTACATACCCGGACATGCAATGAATCATATTGTATCGGTGCCATTAGTGGCAAGCTACCTATCAGTTATTACCATGAATAATGAAATTCCTATTCATATCAAAGTTTTGTTCTTGGTCCTCTGTACTTGCATTTTGATCAAATAATCATTTCAATTAATGAATACTTAGTTTTATTAGAATTAACTAATTTATTTTCACTCTTATTCCCTCGCTACAACACTCTCCTTACTCGTCAAATCAAGAAATTAAACGGCTAATTATTGAAAAGCATCAAACAATCACATCACACCGCTGAAGAAAATATTAAGCCTCTTGAATTTCACAGATATTGCAGGCAAAAAATGAGTGAAAATGACAAGCCTTGCTTACACCAAAAAGGGGGGAAAAAAAAAAAGAAAACCCCATAGTAACATATACATGCATGGATGTTACTTTAATCTCTATATTATTTTCCCACCATCATCTAGTAACAAAAGAAGAATGCCTAAAGGGGTAAAAGGCTTATTCACATGTTTGGGAAAAACTTGGAAAAATAAACGCTGACAAGACGAGCAAGAAAAATTGCCCATGAAAATGAATTGGTTATAGGAATTCAACGAAGCTCCAAAAAAAATCTTTTTGTAATTGTCCTCTTCTTGTTGTTCATTTCATTTTTCTGTCAATCTATTTTCTTCTTGGCTCAGGTTGGCTGAGTGTGCAGAGTTTTAAATTAACAATCAAAGGTGAGTCAAATTGATGTTTCTTGAAATGCTTAGCTAATAAAGCACACTAATCAGGCAGCAGGTAAGCATTAGAGCTGTCCAAGTTGGAACATTTACATACCAAAGCGCTATTAAGCCTGAAGTTTGACCTAATCTAGGAACTAATGCATATTGATCATAAAGCTTTTCTTTTAGATTATATAATTTGGTATGCTATCATTTAAATTTTTCTAGCTTTCCTTCTATCCTAATCAATTCCTAATTCATGTAACTAGATATGTTATATACAGGAAAACTTCAGCAACGTTATGTGAATTGATAGGATTTTTCCAGTTCAACTTCTTAATGTTTGGGAAGAGGTTCAATTATTTAAGTTCTTAATTCACCTATCAGTACTCTACCAAAATGTGCTACACACCAGCTCCAAGTTCCCTCAATCAATGACAATTTGATTTTGATGGGCCGACCAATGAGACAAAAATAATAAACAAAATAAGCCAATGAAAGTTACTAGCAAACTAGACTTGAATGATACGAGAACATTTCTAATCGTGCATCACCTTCTCAAGGGAGAATTACAGTTTTGGTTCCTAATAGTTAGTCTCTGTGTTAAATTGATCTCTAATGTTTTGATCAAAACAAATTTGGTTCTCAAAATTTCAGATTTTAAGCATATTTAGTACAACTGATGAAAATTCAACAATAACTAATGAGTATCTGTTCTTTGTGAAAGTTACAATTAGATAATAATAAGTAATATGTAAAATAAAAATTGACCACAAGTTACAATTGTAAAAATGATTTGTCACAATTAGTTGTAAACACAAGTAGCAAGATACCTTTAACATCTAATGCTACACATTACAAGTACATATAAAAGAGCATGAGGGTGCTTTGGAGTAATATAAGCCAAAAGGAAAACACTAATTAGGATGAAAAACGAAAATAGAGAAAAAAAAAACTGAAGGATATTATTATCAAAGTACAAATTTTGCTACCATACTAGAATCAACAATCAAGCATCATATTCATATTGCTCCAGTTGTACATCCTTGGACTTCAAAGGCACATATTCTCCCAAATAAGCTTCAAGATGATCCGACAGGGCTGATTTATCAATGTTTTCATGGTGATAAGACTTGCAAACAAAGTAGACAATTGTTTGAATCACCAATCCAAAGAGAATCAGCTTGAAAAGCAGCAACAAACACAGCATCCCTAATCCCAAACGGTGTAATACTCCAAATCTCCATCCACCATGAACAACATGAGCATAAAACAACAGCTGAATTGCAGCAAGGGACAAATTCAGCTTAAAAAATATGACTATGCTAATCAGCATCTTCCCTTTGATTAATTCCTGGCTTTTCATCATAGCTTTGATCCCATATGAGTCTTCTAAAACAGACACAACACTGGCCAACTGCCAAATTATGGTCATGTAGACAAAGACCAGAATATACACAATCAACAAGAGGATTAACAAAACAGCACCAATCAACGTTTCTCCAAGGGTCATGGTCAATATCGTTAAAGCTAGTAAAGCTATGAGGTTATAAGCAAAGAAAGCAAGAAAAGTGCACAGAAAAGTGACCACAAGCCTTTTCCAGACCTTTGGGACAACACTCATGACCTTCTTGAAGGTTATTTCTCGCCCGGTATATATACTGGCAATTGTGTAAACAACAGCAGAAGTGGAAAGCAGAGAAAAAATGAGGAGAAATGTGAAGTAAGTGATGTTGAAAAGCCACAGAATTGCCAATTCAGACCATACAAGATCAGTGAGTTTCTTGCTTTTTTGAGGCTCTGATTGGGCACGATGCAATTGGTTTTCAGTGTGGATGATTTTTATCTTGAGTAGATGGGATATTTCTATATGAGCCAAGAAAATGAAGGATAGCGGAAGGATCAAAGATAGGGTGATTTTGCTGAAGATTTTTCTCCATCTAAAGACCACTTTGTAGGCTTCTGCATAGATCCCAAAAAGGCCTAAGAATTGCATCTCTTCTTGCTCTCTGTCCATGATTGTTTCTTCAAGAGTATGCAGATTGGAAAGTTGAAAGAGGACAAGACTTGAAGAAGAAAGGAAGAAAGACTAATATAAGATGGCTTTTGAGGAAGAAAATGTAGGAAAATTATATTCTGGACATTTGTCTATTTATCTGTCATAGCACCCTTTATTACAAGTTAACTGCATAGGACAATTTCATTATTTGTTTAATTGTTGAGAATGCATTTTATAAGCAACCATTTGGCATTATTTGTTGGTACAAGCCAAATACAGATTGAGTAAAATATTGGATTAGGACATATATTGGAATTAAATTAATAAACAAATGATAGTGTTGGGATCAACCGAATTAGAACATGATAATCCAAAAATGTAATACACTGGAGTAGGACGTGAAAGGGATTAGAATATTTAGACTCATGGAATTAGAATATCCATAATATGTCAAAAACATAATAGATGCATCCAAGGCGATTTGGTGGAGTTTTTCGTTTCTTTCTATATCGATTTAGATACCGCAGTTCACCTAGATATTTACATCTAGATGGCAAATAAAAGGTATCTATTTAGGTTTAGATTGAATGATACATTTATCCAGTTACTTACAATTTAGGGGGTACATAAAGTAGGATGTGGCCAAAAATTCTGATCAATGTGCAAGAGGTATATAATTGATATAATTGAACATTTTTTTAGATAATAAACTCAATTTAACAAAAACACAATCTTTTGGATAATAAAAGTAGTTTTCTGTTCATGTCTGACAAGTGAGATTAACAAACTTATATTACTTTCTAGAAGGGACAGAACAGTAATATACTGTACATATATTGGATTAAATTCTTAAGGGGTGGCAGTTTCTACGTGGCTTCAGTTTTTTTTTTCCCCTTTCATTGTAGAAACTGACTACAAACCTATTTATTTTACCATAGGGGGTCCAATTGCTTAGCTTCTTGAAGGTTGGACTGAATATTGCCACCTAGAAAATTATATACCTACACACACTCACACACACATGTAGACTTGGGTAGATTTTAGTTTTCAAGAGATGATTTTTAATTATCAGCAAAGTCAGCTATTACCTAATTGATGACCTCTTCCAAATTCATACTATATTCCTTTTTGAATGTTATTTTCTAAGTATTAGCAGTCTAAATCACTTTTAAACTTGACTAAAGTTCATTACTAAATAGATGGCACCTGCTTCTGTCAACTTCATCAAATACAACCAGGTTCAAGGGTGTTAATCTATGTTGAGTATCACAGATTGGCTGGTACGTTTTGGAAGCTGTAAGCCATTTATTAGAGGTTGATTAATAGTCCACTATACTACAGCAATTGTTTTTCAGCTTTTAGGTGCAAAAGGGTTTCAATTGTATTGTTTGAACTAGTCGTGGCTTTATTTCTTCAAATGCTAAAAATTAAGTTTTCCGAGTAGCAATTTCATCTGCAAAAATAAAAAGAAAAAGAAAAGAGGGTTCATCTAGATTAAGTTGTAGAAATAAATTTCAAAAGGGAGAATCTATCATCTAATTATCAGAAGAATCAACCACCTAATCAAGCATCGGGGTGATCTGCTTGTTTGGAATAAAAAATCAAAATTTTTGGCAAAAAAAAAAAATGCCGAGGGTGATTTTTTTTTTTGGGTCAATTCTGAAATCATGCAAATGAATTGATTAATGAGAAGCTTTTACATAATGCTATATTTGAAATGGTTATAATTTATGTTCAAGTTTCTTTTGGTTCCCATTCTTTTATTTCACTAGAAATAGTTCACGTGCTTTGCACGTGACTATAATATTTTAAAATATATTATTCTTTAAATACTAAATTTTTTTTATGAAATTTTGATCATCAACATCATAATATAGTATTTTTATATTATTTATTTTTTAACTAGTCATTTTTAAAATTTTATTAAATGAAAAGAGATAGAAAAGATTCCAATGTAGTTGATGATAGGTGTCGAGCCTGTGCAATAATAATTACTAAAAAGTCCTAATTACCACCACAATTAATTATAGAACAAATCCAAGTACTGGAGCAGGGACTCTAGATGTGCAATGGGTTACTTGATTCACTCTATTCCCGAAGAGTTTGTTTGATCCGATATACCAGAATTGTCTATAAAAGTATTAAATTTGCGTACAATAGCAAGTAGGGTCGATTCCACAGGGAACGGATAGGAAGTTATTTCTTTCCAAATCAATAGAACAAAATTGGGGGATATTTGATGGAGTGAAAATGAAAATAAAATAAACAAAATTCAAAAGCTAACTCAACGAGCACAATTTACTAAAAATAGCAATTAATAAAATTCTACCCAAAGGATCAATTTTTCAGGTACGGTCCAATTAAATGATCATCGATGGAACGATATTTCATTCATCCGTCATTAGGTTGGTTATAGCTATCAACAAGTTCTGACAACCAGTTCTTCCTTACTTTTTCAACAGTCAAGGTACGATCATTGATTGCTTCTCTAACCAGAAAACAACCCTAGGTACGATCGTAGGAATTTAATTATCCAGTTGCATTAAAGTTAGAAGAACCCAACTCTAACTAATAAACACGCTAAGAGGGTTTATTTAAATTAGATATTACGTTTTCCCAACATAAAGCCAATTATGGTGGTTGCCACTAGTTGTCAACTAAACGAACAATTACGGATTCAATTTAATTAACGTGGCAGTAAGCTATTATATTAAATTAAATATCCGACCGTTGATACTTAATTAATAAAATATCCATGAACAATTAATCCAGGAAACGCACGAATAGTAACGAATTGGAAGAAATAATGAAAATTCGATTAGATCTCACATATGTTGGGGACCGCGCCTTTGCGTCGACCTTTGGATAGAGGAGAAACTTAGCCGCTCCTCATCGTGTTACTCTCGCGTGGTTTAATTGATTCCATCCACACAATTGCCAAAGAATTGGGAAAAATAAATTAACATCGAAAGCAAAAGGAATAGTCTTGATTATCTCTCGGTCTGTGTTTGTACTGAAGCAAAAAGTAAAAGAAAAGCACTAGAGGAAGTCGGCTGCAAACAAGAGCCAAAGCCGCGAGTAAAATTGTCTGACAGGAAGAAACAAAGGCTAATCTCTTAAGCTCGCGTGATTCTGGCTTTTCTTTGTTTGCCGCTAAAAAGAAGAGAAAAAATCTGATCGAAAAAAGAAGCTAAAAGCTAATCTAATTGATTAGACGTGAATCTGGCTTTTCTTTTTTATATCTTACAAGTAGTCGCCGCCAGTAGAAGCAAAGAAACGTCAGGGAGCAAGACTTTGTCTAGGGGTTTTAATCCCATGTATCTCCGCGGTTCACGTGGACCTGATTTCCTAATTGGCCCTATTGCTACCAATCCCACGGGTCCGGCTTTTAGGTATCCTTCTACAGTTTCTGGCGTGGGCACGCCCTGAGATGAAAAGTCTTCTGAAAAATCTCCCCAAGATATCACTTTTAACACCAACCGCCTACAATTTACACAAATATCAAATATGAGCAAAATCTCAATACTTAGCACAGTAAGTAACCAATATTATGACCAAATAACATCGCAAATGGTGCCCAACATTTTCCAGGGCGTGCCCACATCAAAAACCGCAGGGTTACGTCCAAAAGACGGACCGCGGGACTTATCTTTGGAAGCTCGCCACTATTTTCAGGAGATATGTTTTGAAGTTGCATGGGATTAGGAAACGTCTTCAGAGCATACCTTTGACAACAGCTCAAGGAGGAAAATAAGGAAGTTATCCTTTATGGAAACAAACTCTCGATTGGCAAAAAGAAGGCGGCGGCGAAACTATAAATAGGACAGCAATAGATTAGGGTCTGGGATCTTTTATCTTTTCTTCCTTTCTTAACGTGAGTTAGAGATTGGCGGCTGTATTCTTTACTTTTTCATCAGTAAAATTACATTAAAGCTTGGGATTGCGTTGTCGTCATGAGGCGAGGTTAAGTTCCTTTATCTAGTTGAGGAATAATCAAGGTCCGGTGCACAAACAATTGTGAGATCGTTTTAATTGTTTTGCTCTATTTTAAATTCTGCGTTCGTGGGTATTTAATTATTCTTTGTTTTAATAGCCTATTATTGTTTGAATTTATTGGATCAATATGGCCAGTTGTTCAATTGTCTGAATAGTATACTGCCAATTAGGATAAGGGTGCGTACCACTTGATTGTCTTAAATTAGTGGTAAACGGCACAATTTCATTGCCTCGCAAGCAGTTTAATCTGGATCGTAGGAATAGTTAATCTAGTTTAAATGAACCCGCATGTGCGTTTGTTAACTAGAATTAGGTCTCTCTAATTCCTAAAGTTGTGAATAGATTAAATCTTTCGAGCGTCTCTGAGGTTATCTATTTTACAAGGGAGTTGTTTAAGAGCATCTCTGGACTACCGAAAGATTAAGGAGAGATTGGTAGTTTTGGCGATTGCTAAATTGCTAGAATCAATTTATTTGCGAGTGTGTGAATTATTCTTGGTATATATGATCAATTGTGTGACCGGTGTCGAAATTATATCCTTGACTAGGTTGTGTCAATTAATTGTTTATTATATTCTTTAGTTACTGCACTTTCTTGCCATTGAAAATTCAGTACTCTTACATCTTTAATTTGTTTTTTTTTGTCTTCCTTTCTAAAACCCCCCAAATTCTTTGTGTGTGATATATCTACCAGTTCTTTGAGAAGACGACCCTACTCACCACTATACTTGTTTAGTTTTGGGATTAGGTTTTGATATAAATCTTATTTTTGGTAGTTTAACAGCCACCAACATCTTAAGGATAGCAATTGACACCATTTTTTGATTGTAATTATGGTTGTTAATTTGAGATGAAATAATCATTATTTTGGTTTAATTAATTGCTCTTATTTATTTAGTGCCCTAACCTTTTTGGTCGAATATCCACTTGTAATAATGCATAATGTATTAGGGCAAAGTAGTACTTTCACTATATCTTATGCAAGTAATGGTGCCCAAATTTCTGACAAAGGAGGTTAGTATA